TCCCCTCCACAAATTATACCAACATCAAATACAGTGAAAGCAGAGGTTATACTGTGGGGGAGGGCCAGTCTTTTATTCTTGAGCCACAGCACTGGTGGCTCACGCCTGTAATCCTAGCTACTCAGGAGTCTGAGCATTATGCTTGAAAGCCCAGGCAAAAAGATCCTGATACTCGTGTTTTTTTTTTTTTTTCCTTCTGTCAGTTGTGGGGCCTGAACTCTGGGCCTGGATGCTGTCCCTCAGCTCTTCAACTCAAGGCTAGCACCACTTGAGCCACAGCACCACTTCCGGTTTTCTAGTGGTTTATTGGAGTTTAGAGTCTCACAGACTTTCCTGCCTGGACTGGCTTTGAACTGTGATCCTCAGATCTCAGCCTCCTGAGTAGCTAGGATTATAGACATGAGCCACTGGTGCCCAGCCAAGATCCTGATATCTTTTCTTCTTTTATACTGAAACCCTGTGTTTGGGCAGTGTCCTTGAGCATTTTTTTGCTCTACTTCTGGTTCTCTGGTGGCTTATTTCCTGCTCTGGCTGGCTTTAAACTTCGATCCTCAGATCTCAGCCTCCTGAGTAGCTAGGATTATAGGTGTAAGCAACAAGCATCAGGACTTATCTCTCTTTAAAGAGCGAAGAGGTAGACGGGGTGGTGTGGCTCAAGTGGTAGACCATCATCCTTCAGTAGAAAAACCCGAGTGAGACGTACAAGGCTCTGAGTTCAAGCCCGGTGCTAACACAGAAACAGCCCTAAAAACACCCCCTGCTGCAGCAGAGAGGCGGGGGGGGGGGCTGAGCTGAGGGCAGAATGCCCTGGATTCCACTCCCAGTACCACACAAAAGGAAAGAGGCAATGGAGAGATGATGGGGACATCGTGGCTGGGGAGGGAAGGCGGTCACAGAGCACAGAGCGGCCGGGCAGAGGGCACAGCGTCCATCGCCTCAAGGCAGCAGAGATAGTAATCTGTCTAGACGTGGAGGGAAGAACCTAGAAGAGAATGGAAACTCACAAGATGAGCCCCTGACTGAAGGAAGATCATTTATCCCACTGTCCCGGAGGCCAAGAGCAGTGTGGGTGTCAGGAGATGGAGATGCAGAGATTGCATGTTCTCGAGAGCGCGTGACGGGGAGAGGAGGTCCGAAACTGCTCGTGGAGGAGGACCTGGGAGGGAGCCTGGGGTGTGCGCTGGCCGAGGGCAGACAGCGCAGCAGGTAGTGGTGCGGTGAGGATGCTTCACCATCCGGGCTCTGCTGGCTGAGAGAGAAACGGAAAGCAGGAAGGCTGTCAAATGGAAGGAAACAGACCAAGTGTGCTAGTGATCTGGAAAGGCTCAAAGACCAGGTGGCTGGCCAAGATCTTCCAAGCAAACCAGAAGGCACAACTTGTGGTCAGAATGGGCAATCTGAGTGGCAGGAAATAAGTAAATGTTGGCTGTTGGCCGAGTTAACCGAACAAACCAGTGCCAAAAGGTTCAGACCTTGGCTCACACAGAGCAGATGGTGGTTAAGCCAAGATAGGATCCAAACTGTAGGCCCTCCTGCTCCTCAGAACCCTGCACTGGGCTATCTCTGCCAGCAGAGGACACAAGGAGCAGAGGAGAGGAAATGAAGGCTGGAGTGCCCAAGACCCAAAACAGCCACTACTCAGAAAACGGTCCTTCCCCAGACCCGTCAGACCTGGCTTCTCCACACAGAAGTCCAAAGACAGGGGGTCAGGGTGGCAGGGCCGGGCAGTGGCCAGCACGGGGTCAGGCAAGGTGTCTGGGGAGGCGTGCTGTTCTTGCAGCACACTGCACCTCCCCACTCATTCCTCACTCTCACCCTGAGAGCCCGGCCTAGCTTCGCTCCTCACTCTCACCCTGAGAGCCCGGCCTGGCTTCGCTCCTTGTCAAAGGGAAGACGCTTGTTCCCACAGGGGGCAGCATTCCCCTTTGCCAGGAAGGATGGGGAACTAGCCCAGCCCCCAGACTTCACCCTGTTCCAGGAACTTACTCCTCCCCCAAGACCCTACAGTGCCATGCACCCCCACCCCACCCCAGACTCAGCCCTGCAGCGCCAGCACCCTCTTCAGGCAGAGTCCACTCAGGAACCCCGTAGACCTTTTCCCCCACAGCACCCTTCCAAACAACCTGTCCTAGACAGACTTACCCGGTTCAGGACCTCCTCCTCCTCCCTCAGCCCCATCCTCCCTCAGCCTCCTCCTCCCTCAGCCTCCTCCTCCCTCAGGACCTCCTCCTCCCTCAGCCTCCTCCTCCCTCAGGACCTCCTCCTCCCTCAGCCTCCTCCTCCCTCAGGACCTCCTCCTCCTCCCTCAGGACCTCCTCCTCCCTCAGGACCTCCTCCTCCCTCAGCCTCCTCCTCCCTCAGG